TCGTGGGGTCAGCCTAACGGGGGGGAAGCGGGTTGTTTGGGAGCTTTTGGGGCCCTGAGGGGGTTTTGGTACTAGAAGGAATTTAGTCCTTGGCTCCGCCCTGGTGTGTCTCCCCCGCCGTGGGGCTGGGCAGGGAGTGGGTTGTGTGCCCCCCGTCACGGATCTGGGCAGGGAGCAGGCTCTGTGTGTGTGTCCCCCCCACGGAGCTGGGCAGGGAGGGAGTTCCTCTGGCACCTGCCCGCTGGGCTGGGCTGTCAGCGAGGCTATGGCAGAGCCCTGGGTGCGGTGCCCTGGGGAGGGGACGGTTTTCATTGCACTGAGAGTTGTATCTCAGTAAGGACACAGCAGCTCCACGGCCCAGACCTGTTGCGTTGCAGAGACATGCTCTGAGCATGTGGGCTTCTCGGAGTGTGTCCTTCGGTTATCCTTTGTGGGCTGCAGGTGAAGGCAGCTGCTTCTCTAACTCCAGTGGTGGGATTGAAGGCTTCTTCCTATAGAAAAGGTCACAGAACAGGCTGTGGATGGAAGCTGAGCAGGTCCCTGCCTGTGTTGCAGTTTACCTGGAGACCTACGGCTGCCAGATGAACGTCAACGACACGGAGATCGCCTGGGCCATCCTGCAGAGGAATGGCTATGCCAGGACAAAGGAGCTGGATGAGGTAAGGCAGCACCTTGGCAACTCTCCTGGAGCGCAGGGCTGCGGGGGGCCTCGTGCCCTGGCTGTGCCTGCAAGTCCCAGCTTTCCTCTGGAGTGCAGTCCTGCAGGATGTTGTGGGTTTTGCAGTCTGAGTTCTGCAGAGTGGAGGAAACTACCTAACAAGTGTGGTAGAAAGCTGTGGGTTGTCTTTTTTCTTTAAACTGCTGGGCTCCCTCTCAGCAGGGATTGGACACAGCAGGGTCCTCCTGACTCATCTTTGAGTTTAATTCTGTCATTTAGTGGAAGACTCTACTTGTCTTCTCTTACTTTCTTGCACTTCTGTTTGTTGAAACCCACTGTGTGCTCAGGCAGGTCTTTTTGCCTGACTTAAGTGAGTTTTATAGTCTGCCTCTTCAGGTTACGCAGGCAGGGCATGAGAAACTTATCACTTGGCTTTTATGAATTCTTCCTTTTTTGTTGCTTTCAATTTAGGCAGATGTGGTTCTCCTTGTCACCTGTTCCGTGAGGTAAGGAAAATTTTGTCGCTGCTGGTTTTGGACAGTTTTTAAGGAATTTCCATTTGAAAACCAAAGCAATACATGTGTTGCGTGAGGAAAAGAGTGTGCAGGTGTGAAAGTGACTGTTTAGTTGAGGGTAGAGCTGGCTGATGCCACGATTTACAACATTATTTGTGCTATAAATTGCTTTTTTATGTAGTGAGTTGTTTGGTAGTGCAAGCTCTGTGTATATGCCATGAGCAGTGAGAGACCTGCACAGTCAGTGCTTTAATGATTTTATTTTTTTAATATTCTGTTTTCTCTTGAAGTGGGTGTCTAGTACAGGGTGTCTAGTACTTCAGAAGTGTGAGAAATATAGTTAAGGGCAATTTGATATAAATACAAAGGGAACTTTGCTTGGTTTTTTTGAATGGGGAAGATCCTGAATGCTCATTGTCACTTGCAGTGTAGCTCATACTGTGGCTACGGTACTTTTTCTCCCCAAGAGCTTAGTCTGTTTTTTCTGCAGCATAGATGCTTCCAAGCAAGTAAAGTGATAATAGATAAGATAGAGTTAAGACATAATCCCCACAACACAAATGGCTTGCCATCGGGTCCATCAGGTGGATGATTCCCTCCCTTTAGCTGAAATCTCCTCAGAAAGTGCTTCAGGCTGGGGCAATTTTAAAGTGCAACAGCTGGAACAACCAGTTTTCCTGTCTCCCCAGGGAGAAGGCAGAACAGGCCATCTGGAACCGGCTGCAGCACCTCAAGGCGCTGAAGGCCCGTCGGCAGCAGGCTCGTGCACCCCTGCGCATCGGGATCCTGGGTACCACCAGACTGCAGTCACTGTTCCCCTCTGGCAGCACCCACCTTTTCTGTGGGGTGAAAGCAGCTGGGAAGGGCTGTGGAGCTGTAACAGGGGGTGGGCACTGCCTCATAAGGACAGTTCTCCTTTTGTTGCAGGATGCATGGCTGAGAGGCTTAAGGAGGAGATTCTGCACAGGGAGAAGCTGGTCGATGTCGTGGCAGGCCCGGATGCCTATCGCGACCTGCCCCGGCTGCTGGCTGTGGCAGAGTCTGGCCAGCAAGCTGCCAATGTCCTGCTGTCCCTAGATGAGACTTATGCAGACATTCTACCTGTCCAGACTAGTGCAGGTGGTACGACAGCGTTTGTGTAAGTACCTTCTCCCAGTGCTTCTTTCTGTGGCTCTGGTTTGGAAATCTGCTGTGCAGAGCAGACGTGCCGGTGACAGCAGTGGCCAGGAGATGCAGTGTCTGGCTGCACTCACTCCCGGCAGCCCAGAGGCATGAATTCACCAAAATGTGTGTTTGCTGCTGCTTCACTGTGTGACTGAGTCCTGGAGAGCCTGCCCCAAGCTCTGGCTGTCATGGACTTCTCTCCCTCACCTTTGGGAATGCTGACTGCCTCAGCCTGATGCTGTGCTGAGTGATTTCTGTCCCACTGACTTCTGTGCCTCTCTCATCCCCTGCTTCCTGTGATGCCCTGCCCTAGGTTCTGTTATTTATTCTTCTAATCCCCCACACATTGTAACTTCTGTTGATTTTATTTCTGTTTGTTTAGTTTTGATAATAACACTCCCAAACATGAAACCTCACTCTGCTCTGTGTGGCCATAGCATACGGAAGGACAGTACTGCTCTCTGCAGGAGAGTGGGAAGGACCTTTGGTCACTGCCAGGCTGCGGTGGAAGTCTGTGCCTTGTTCTTTTCAACTTTCTTGGGAATGTGCATGAAGAATCAGGAGGTGTTAGCTCAGGGCAAGCCAAAGGCAGGGTGGGTGGAGGGGAGTGTGAGGTAAACTGCAGAGCTGTGCCCAGAGCTGGTCTGTGTGCAGAGCTGGCTGGAGGCAGCAGTGCTGGGCACAAAACAGGGCAGGATGCAGCATGGATGGTTCTTGCAGAGCAGTCGTGGTGTGACATGTGCTTTACGTCTGGGCAGGTCCATCATGCGGGGCTGTGACAACATGTGCACCTACTGCATCGTGCCCTTCACCCGAGGCCGGGAAAGGAGCCGCCCCATCGCATCCATCCTGCAGGAAGTGAGGATGCTCTCGGATCAGGTGAGGCAGAGCCTCCTCCCACCTGTCCCAAGCCATGGGAGGAAGGGTGGGTTTTGGTAGCAGTGTTTTCAGTGATACATTTAACCATCTCTGCCTTTATCTGTGGAGATGAGGTTACTCTGGGGTTCCACCACTGGTTTTTTGATTCCTCTTGTAATACTCCATGATAGACACAGAAAGGAGGGCTTCCTTGGAAAATCCTTCGAGTAAAACCATGACTGCCCTTGCAGCTTGTCCATCCTGCTCAGGTTATATTTTTTCCTCTCTTGTTTATTTTGTAGGGAGTGAAAGAAGTGACCCTCTTGGGTCAGAACGTCAACAGCTATAGAGACCTGTCTGAGGTGCAGTTCCAGTCAGCAGCTGCCCCAGGCCTCAGCCGTGGCTTTAGCACAGTCTACAAAGCCAAACAGGGAGGTTTGCGCTTCGCACACCTGCTGGACCAGG